GCAGAGGCGGGGGAGGCCAGTGGCAGATGGGACTGTGTGGTGTCCCTGGAGTGTGGCAGGTGATGGCAGAGCTGAACTGGAGGAGCCCCGGGCTGATGAAGCAGGGGTTAGAGGTTAGGATGGAGGGCCTTGGTGGGCTGGGAATTGGGATCCAGGTGGATGGGGCAGGAGGGACCCTTGATCATCAAGGAAAACCCTGGGAATAGATTTTGCATCCGCCAGTGTCTGAGGCAGGTGACAGGAGGCAGTGTCCCCTGCAGTGGCACAGACAGGAGATTTTCCCAGGCTACAGAGTCAAGGTGAGGCTCCTCTAGCCTCAAAGCACACCAAAGAGCAGGTAAAGGCCAGCAAGAGGACAAACCCACTCACCGGAGTCCTGGGAAACTCCACCTGGGCTGAGTCTGCCCTGCTCAGCTGGGGATCAAGCTGAGCCTGTGTGTACTTGCTACCGCTGCCTGCCCGCAGCCTGAATGCTCCTGCCACCAGCCTCTCTGCAAAGCTGGTCCTCTCCACCTCCAACCACTCTGGCCCAATGGCATGGAGTTGCAAGGGAGGAAGGTGGGATGTGGCATCTCAGGAGCTTGCTGGAAAACAACTTCTGCTGCCACAGCCCTGTGTGGGGGTACAACTCCATCACCAAGGTAGTTTGTCCAGGCATTGGCTTGCCCAAGGACAAAAGGGTCTGTCCTGCCCCCCCTGGTCTCTTGGCTGTGGAGCTGAGCAGGGACTCCTGGAGCACAGTGTCTCCATCCCCCCCAGAGCCCGTTGCCATGCTGTGCCACTGTCCCACACCTCCCCGTCCAGGAGGAGCGGTGACCCCTGCCCAACATGAGGACAGGCTGTGGGGGATGCCCCAGCACCATGCCTTGCTGCCCACCGGGATGGGACTGACCTCTGGGCATGGACCTGGAGGTGTCCCTGCGGCTTTCCCAGCCTCCGCATGCTGCTGGTGGCCTGTCACGCTGGCACCCCACTGGCCATGGGGACACATCCGTACCAGCCCCACTGATTTAAACCTGGGGACCCGGCAGTTGAGCTGCCTGAGCTCTGGGAGTTTGGGCTGTGCCTGCGGTGGAAACAGCCCAAAGTGCTGGTGGGAGCCAAACCCAGGCCCTGTCCCTGGCGCCGCGGGGCTCAGCAGCCTCCCAGACTGGACAGAAGCAGCTGCTCATTACGTCCCAGCGCTGCCCTCCCCGCGGCCACCCCGGTGACACCGTGCCACCACTGGTAAGGACAGAGAGAGAGCCTGCTTTCAGCTGGGGATGCCAGATCTCCCCTCCGGTCCCCCCGACAGTGAAGCCTTTGGCTGTGCCAGACCCAAAAACAACTGCAAAGGTTTCTCCACCCAGCAGCTGGAACCAGGCCTGGAAACTCAGGGGCTGCCGAGTCATCACATTTTCCGTGAAGCAGCAAAGGCTACCACAAGGAGCAGGGGGATGGGGGATGTCCTGCCTACCATAAGCACTTGAAAGCTATGCTGGCCAGAGCTGGGGTGGGACTGCGGGGTCTGTGCAACCAAGCCACCACCTCCTGCAAGGGTGAGAGCCTCAGGCTGGGAGGTTGTCCTTGCCTCAGGCTGTGGTGGGATCATCCAGTTTGGAGCAGAAACGGGAAAGGAGAACTCTGACAGCATGCCCATTGTAGTGGTGTCAGGTGTTGCTTACGCTGAGGGACAGTAGCCACAGTGCAGTGGCAAAGGTCTTGTCTGGCAAAGGCTCCAGGCAGTCTTCCCGTGCAGTGCCACCTTCAGACCAGAGCAGAGTCCAGCCCCAGTTTGCCTTTGTACTCCATGCACTGGCCTTTACTCCAGGTGCCCTGGGCACAGAGCTGGTGGCACAGGGCTTGTTTCTGCTGAGGCATCTCCCAGACCTGATCATGGTCTTCCACACCTGGGGAAAGCAGGGAACCTCCCTGGGAAGCACCAGCTGGGGTTGAGCAGGGTGGGCAGCAGAGTGCATGCCTGTGGCACCCCAGCGTCCCCGGTGTCACAGGGGCCGTGCGTGGTGACAGTCGGCGGGCAATGCTCCCGAGTCTGGGCACGGGCAGAGCCTGGCAATGTCCCCGCACGTGGCGGCGAGGGAACAGCAAGGACGCTGCCACTCCCCAAGGGGCTCAGCCTGCCAGGGCACAGCCATGGCCTGGATGTGCAGCCCCGCTGTCCCCGTGGCAGCTCTGCCATCCCTCCCTGGGCAGGACCCCTTGCATCTGACCTGACACCCTGTGACAACGTGATGCCCAGGGACCCCATGATATGGGGCACTGGTGCCACTGGGATTGGGCTGGGAGCAGCTCTGGGGCTCCTGCCCTGCCTTGGCCCTGCAGCAACATCCCATTGGTCCCTGTTCCTCTGATCCCTGTCTCTCCTTGTGCCCACCAGTGCTGTGAACAGCCCCAGGCCACGATTTCTCCCCTCTGCCACCTCTGATGCGCCGAGAGCTGCCCATGGCTGCGAGGGAGGAACGAGGGGAACAGGCTGCTCCCGGGGCAGAGCCTGCGGAGGATGCAGGTGCCGCTGGGACCTCTCTCTTTGCAAGGTTCACACGCCACCGTTCTCCAAACCTAAACCCTAGAGCACTGGGATGCTCTTCCTTCAACCCCTTGCAAGTGTTTAATCATTTCCACATGGAGCCCTGCCAGCGTCACTGCCTGCCTCTGCCCTGCGCTTTCAGACCTTGGAGATCTTCCCATGTTGCAGAGGGGAGGGCAGGCAGGCGGTGGGAGACGTCACCCCTTCTGCAGGGCAGAGCTGTGCCCTGGGCAGACACAATCGCTCCGGCCAGGCTGTGGAATGGTCAGGAGTCGCAGGAGTGACTCCTGTGCTTGGGTGATGCTCTGTGCCAGCCCCCCCCCAATCCCCCCGCTCCCCTGCTTGCTGCTGGAGACCTGGCAGCAGAGCCCGGTATGCCTGAGGGTGCGAACCAGGCACCTGAAGACCTGGGAAGAGCAGGGCTGCGGGTGACTCAGAGCACGCCCAAAGCCGGCTCAGCCGGGCAGACCTGCTCTACGCCCCCCGGGGTGTGGGTGCCGCTCCTGGGGCTGAGCAGGCTCAGGAGTCCCCTTCCCCTGGCTGGGGCAAGAAGCACCAGGTGGGGAGGGCTGATAGCAGCCTGGAGAGTGCCTGCCCCACACGTCCTGCAAGTAGGGCAGCACCTGGACGGCCCCCAAAACCACCCACCCCATCACCAACAACCTGCGGAGCCCTGCAGGGCTCTGCTCCCACCCTGGGATGCAGTGCCAGCACAGGCTGACAGCAAACGTGCATGGTGCCACCAGGATGCCATGCTTGCAGAGCCAGGAAGCAGCCATGAAGCAGCTCCTGGTGCCCGCCCACACCTCACCATGCTGGGGAGCCCGAGCCCAAGATCTCCCCCTGCATAGGCACAGCCGCCTAACGCCAGGCTCTGCTTCTGGCCCAGCCATACACAGACACTGCCCATCCCCTGCCGCCCGCCCCGGGCTGTGGGATGGGGTTTGCCCATGCTGTGCCAGAGCACAGGAGGGTCCGTGCTCCTTTCTCCACCACGCACGTCCCGGCTTCGACCGCACAGCTGGGAAGAGAGAGGGACGCAAGGAGTGGGACCCGTACCTCTCCCGGTGGGCATCCCCGGCGTGGTCCACAGCCCGTCCCTGCGAGCCTGGCGCATGCGGTGTCAACTTGGCGCGCACACACTTGCTTGCCGTTTACTCCTGCTTGTGCACAGCCCTGGCGATCAAGTCTGGGCTGGTCCTGTGGGAAGGCCCGCCTGGGCTCGCCCAACGTCTCAGCTGCAGGATGCCAGGGAGGAGGGATCAGCTGGACAGAGATGTCTCCACAGCCCTGTGACGGCAGGGGTCTGCACACCAGGGAGGGTGGGAGACATGTGCCATGCCACAGGCTGGGCACGGCTCACGCCTCCCTGCACCTCTCTTGGGTTTGCACCACATGCCGCAGGACCAGCCCACGTTCTGGGGGCACTCTACGATGGGATTCTTGGAGACAGCAAGCATCCCTTCATGCTGCTGTTGCAAAGGGAGACAGGGAGTGCCCCAAGGCTGTGATGGAGCCAGCACAGACACCCAGACCCATGCTCCAGCCCTGAAGATGTCTGTGGGCTGTGATTGCTAAAGGATTTGCTGCCCTGAGCCCCACCAGACCAGTCACCATCCCGGGGTGAGAGTATCCTGGTCCCTCTCAGTCCTATATCCAGGGGGAGATGGAGAGGAGCTGGTGAGTTGGCTCAGGAGGTGCAGAGCATCCCAAGAGCTTGTCCAGGATGGCACTTATCCTCACCCTGGTGAGTGGGTGGCCAGCTGGTCCCTGGTGCAAGAAGAAGGGTCTTGCTAGTGGGTTCGGAGGAAAGCTGGGACCACGGGAGCAGGTCCCAAGGCACCCCCTGGCCCACCTTGATAAATGCAGCAGGAGGAGGTGCAAGAGCCATGGCAGTGAGCATGAGGACTCCTGTCTCCTGCAGTACCAGCTGAAAACAAGGCCTGGAGCTCATGTTTCTGGTCTCCTCGCAAGAGGCTGGCAGGATTAGCCCAGTTTAGCCGCACGTGGGAGTAGCGGGTTCCTACATCCACTGTGCGGTGCATGGGGGGACACCTCTGCATCTGACCCTTTCCAGTCCCACGAGGGTCACACATTTCAGCTGCCGCTCAGGGGGTTCAGCCTTCCCACCACGGGCACCCATCCCTCACCCACCCCCTTGGCTGGGCAAAGCTCTCTGCAGAGAAAAGGGAGAGGAAAGGTGATGCCGTCTCACTCCAAACCAGCCTGCCTGCGTGGCAGGGAGAGAAGGAAGCCCTGGACACTGCTGCCATGCTCAGCAGCTATGTGAAAACACAGCCTCCAAATTTGGAAAGCAGCTCAGTTTCCAAATACCGCCATGAACTGAAAAACTCACCTCAAAATGAAACCAGACCTGGCCCTCTGGTTCAAAGTTTCCTGTATAAAAACAAACCTGCCAAATGGCTGCACTTGCACACAAAAGGTTTTGGTTTAGGAGGAAAGTGTCTTTTCTGCAGGAATAAACACAAGGTCTGCCCATCCTCCATGCCCCCAGGCGGGAGGCCTGTCTGGCAGCTCAGGGCAAAGGCACGGCATTGTCCCATCTTGCTGCCTGGCTGCTTTCCCTCTCGCACATCCCCTGCGAGCAGACCTGCTGCCTGCAGCAACACCAACGCTGCCACCATACCGAGCTGCCGAGCAGCTTGCCCTGCAAGCACTGCACCCTGGCAGGCGGTGCCAGCTGAGGCTTTTCACACATGTCCCCATAGCTGTGACGCCTTGGAGGGTCCCAGGGCTTGGGGAAGGGCGCAGGATGGGGCTGTGCAAGGACAGAGCTGGTCCTTCAGCAGAGGGATCAACATCTGCCTGTGGCTCTCCTTGTACCCGGTCCCCAGGCCGCTGTGGTGTGGCACCCAGGGGTGCTCCCCTCTCTGCAGCATGGCTGCAGCCTTGGCAGCGTCTGCTTCTGCAGCTCCTTGGCTTCTCCCTGGCATCTCACGCAGCACCCAGAGCCAAACACAACACGAGTCTGTCTCTTCGGCTGTCAGTGGCGCCTGCTGGTTTCTGCGTCCAGTCCCCAAAAGAAGGCAGCTCTGCTTCTACACAGGAGCAGCTGGGGGACCCCCCACCCCAGCGCTGCTCCCCCCAGCTCAGCTGCAAGCCCTCCCGAGACCACCCTTCCCAGGTTGACGCACATTTGGGGCTGGCACAGCTGCAGCCTGGCTGCTCCCCAGAGTGCTGCTGTAGGTGGCATTCACCCATCGCAGAGGAAGCTGCTTCCTTGGCCACCGGTGCGGGTCTAGCGGGTGGCGATTGCTAAAGGCTTTACTGGCACAAGCTTGGCCTCACCAAGCGGGTGCTGCAGTTCTGGAGCAGGGGTGAGGCGGGTGCAGAGGGATGCAGGACCAGCCTCCTCCGCCATCGCCTGCTGACAGTTTTGATCCAGATCCCTGTGAACTGTCTGTCCCTTCAGCCACAGCCTCTGCTGCTTCACTTGGATGGTGGGACCATTCATTGGGTCTTGCAAAGTGACACAGAGTTCAGCCTTGCCTCTCCAGGGGTCCCCAATCATGTGTCCACGCAGTTGAACATCCTTGATTGAGGGTTTGGGGGCATGGAGGGTCTGTGGGACTTGGAGACCTTCCCAGATGCCAGACTTGGAGAGCTGGTGCCTATCCAAAGCACTAGCAGAAGCTATTTTCACCCCTGAACTGAGATACACCAGCCCTGCCTCAGTTTACCATCTGTGCACCAGGAAACAGAGGTGCTCTGCTGCCAGAGGGGAGGGAGGGAGAAGAGGCGGCAGGCTGGTAACGGGGACGCATCAAGCTTTTCTGGGCCTCCTCATCCCCCCCCTGGCCTGTCATTAGCAGCGTGTTTAGCATCTGGGCTGCGAAGCCACGCTGTCCTGCTTCTCCCGTGGGTGGTGCAGCTGGGCTGGGCTGGCTGCAGGGTCTGGGACGGACTGCCCCAAGGTTCGGGAGGGACCAGCCGGGCTGCTGTTCGGCTTGAGACGCTTGGCTGGGAGAGCCTAAAACAACAAACATTGCAGAATAAGGGAACGTTTCACTGCTTTTTCCTGGTCAAGTGGTTTCCTGTTTTCTAAGCAGCTCTTCCAACACCACTGGGGCAGAGGACTTGTCCGTGCAGAGCCTGGTCCCAGAGAAGACCCTCACTAGGGAAGCAAGTTCCTGCTGCTTGACATCTGGCAGAGAAAGAGGTCACAAAAGATTGGCTCTCGGATCAGCTGTGACCTTTACCGGAGACCTGCAGCAGGAGACAGTGTTATTCTTTTCCCCTCTGGGATGAAAGCATCCGTGAATGCGTGGTCTTACCTAGGTCAAAACAGGCTGGACACCGCTTGTTTACACAGCCTCGCTGGTATTTCTTATGGACAGCTTTCCATGGCCTGACAAACTCATCACATGCATGGTCACCCACTCGACATGCCCAGCCCTGTGCAGGGAGCACGGGGAGCTGCCAGGTGCAGCACTGCTCCCATGCACTCTGCTGTGAGCAGGAATACCTCGCTGCTGCGGTTCACGCGGGATGCTGCTGAAGGCAGGGGACAAGGGCAGGACGCCCTGTGGCACGCCACTGCCTTATTTCCCAGGAGAGTGGAGCAAGTGTCTCCATCTCCATCACACCTACTCCTCCCAGGCCAGGCTCTGCACCCCAACTGTGTGTTGGGGTCCTGAGCAGAGCCCTGTACAATTTCAGTGTCATTCCAGCCTCGAGTCCATCCTTTCTCCCCCAGAGCCTGTCTGCAGCTGTGCACACAGGTAAGGTCACCCTGCCTGGTGATGCTGCCCACCCAGCACCCATCACTGCTCCTCTGCCCCAGCCCAGCCCCCCTGCCCACCTTCTCCCGCTTCTTCCCGCGCCTGTCGCTGACCTCCCCTCTGTCCTGGACGGTACCAGGGGGCAGTGGGACCATCCCACCAGGTCTCCAGGCAAATACCCAGATATTTTCTCAGTTGACAAATATCATCCTTCCCCTCCTTTGCTGAGCTTTATTAAAAAGAGGCTGTTGGCAGAGACTCTGCCCTGAAAACCACACGCTAAGTGTCGGG